CAGTTAGAGCTGTCGTGGGGGTATTGCTGAAGACTGATGTTTTTAACAGCTCTCAGGAAATACCTTAGGCTGAGTAAAACTACTGATTGGTAAACTTGGTGGGAGGTATGTAGCGAAAAATCACTGGTTTAAGGTCAATCACTGGTTTAAGGTCAAGGAATCTCTGTCCCATGTTCAGTTAGAAAAAGCATCTGTGTTAACCTGCTTTCCTGTTGAGGTTCATGTGCGCCAAGGATACCTTAAATGTTCTTTTTTATTCTGCATCGGTGCATTTTGTTGCAGCAGAACAATAATACTTGATTTTTTTTTTTTTTTTGTGGCAATGTAACTTTGTACCCAGATTTTATTCAATGAGTTACGCAGCCGTTGCAGACGGCAGTGGTGATTTGCTAGAGATGTGTTGGTGTCAAGGCTTCATGCGTGTATGTAAAATGGATAAACTCCTCGGATATTGAAGGCAGACTACAAATTCTTGGGTTGATGACTTTTAAAAGATGGGGGGGGAAAAAGCCAATGCAGACTAGCAGCAGAAAGAGCATCTTTTAATCTGTTTGCACAGGCAAGGACATGAGTCTTGCCGCACTGGGTATGGCACAGGACCAGGACTGCGCCTTCGCCGGAGCCATGCGCTGCGGAGAGGGGAGATGCGATCGACCCTTGGCGTGGCTCTGTGCCCATCGGTGGGACTGCGGGGCTGCTGCAGATCCTCGTGAGTTCAAATCGCTAAATAAAGTGACCTTTTATCCCGAGGAATGTTTCTTTAATGCTAGAAGGTGCGTTAATTGTAATTTCTCTCACATGTGATCAGCTTCTAGATTCATGTGTTCTCCTGTGATTTGTATTTTCTTTCACTGGAGGGGAGTGGAAAGTGCTGGAAAGCTGTGAGCAGATGTTTTGATGAGCACGGAGGGAAGCTCTCAAGTTGAAAGGCTTTGCTATGGTTTGGCAGTGATTTACAGCCCAAAGGCAGGAGTCAGAGTAGCCCCGTGCAATAACCGTGCACTTCCAGCCTTGAGGACTGTTAGCAAATCCTTAATCCCTCCAAAATGATTTATTTGGTACTGTTTACCGCTAAACTTTTAAATCAGAACGCTTAGCGGTGTTAAATCAGAAAGCTCATTACCTCTTTTCCGCTGCGTTAATAACTATAATCTTTTGAATGGAAGGAACTTTAGGATTTACCTTCCCAAAAAACCTTCTTAACTGGCATTTAAAATACTTCTGCCCTTTAATTCTTCCCCAATTAATGGAGAGCTGATAAAGGAGTTGCTTTGCCTGGAGCACATGGCAGGTCAGTGCCTCGGGGCAGCCCGCTCGCTCTTGGAGCTCAGGCAGAAGGTGAAGTTATCCAAAACGGGTCAGGCTTATCGGTCACCTTTCCTCGGGCTTCCCGTTGGGGTTTCTCTGAAGAGACTGATGTAAATTTTCGTGCAGGATACTGTTCAACACATCTCTGGCTGTTAAGGGAGCACAATGAGTATCTCAGCTTGCGTTCTTCCAGTTCAGGGTGGATTTATCAGCGAGTACTTTGTACTTTTTGCTTCATTCGTATTCGGTTTAATCTCTGTTCCTTACCAAGGAGCTGATCTTGTTTCTTTTCTTGGTTAACAACTAAACAGCAGCAGCAACAACAAAAGAAGATGCAGTTTATCATTACGTTTTCCCTTCAAATATTCTCCTTTCATCTCTAAGGTCCCTTACAGTTTCCTACATTTCATATTTTCTAACCTGTATTCATTTTGTTGTCTGTATCTCCTTTTTTCCACTGTCTATTTACTTGCTGCTTTTTTTTCCGCATTTTGTTGAAGGGGTTCCCAGCCAGGCTGGGCTTGTCTGACTGCAGCATCGCTGTCGTGGTTGCAGCGTCTTGATGTGTAATAAACCCTGAACTCCCTGCTTTTGCTCAGATGTTCATCCACATTTCTCCTGCTCAGTAATTCCACTCATCCTGTTTACTGTGGGAAATGGACCTTTTTGGAGTAACAATCTATTTTTGAGTTAATTTGGACAGAGGGGAACTATGAGGAAGCCGAAAGTCTAAAACCTCTCAATACTGTGAGTTTTCCTGCTCTCCATTTCACGGTGTGACTACAAACTGTGAGTGTGGTGGTGCTGGGGACCTCGTCAACGTGCTGCAGAACCCCCTGATTTTACTTCTCGCAGCAGTGGAGATTTTTCCTGCTGGATAATTTAGTTATTGTTATCTAGTACCAGTGATAACGCTGCCTCGAACTGTCAGACCATTCATGCTCCACTGCCAGAAAGTTCAGAAAAGGTTTAAAGGGAACTGGATAAAATACGATTGCACTTAGCAGCTGACAGCTCTTGATAAGACAGCCCAAGCGCTGCTTCCTGCTTGTTTTGTTTGCCCCTGTAAACTTTTCTGCCTTGCTATGTGCTGCTCAACCTTACGAAGCCAGGGAAATGGTTTGTTCTGGCAGGTGCAGCTCGGGAGAGAAAAAGGCCTTTGGTGCCTTTGGTCCCTCTTGTGTTCAGTAAACAATCCTGGATGTTGCGAATGGTCACTTGCATTGCTCTGAGAGTGGAAAAGGCGATCAGAGAGGAGTTAAGAGGGAATCCATCTGGGTGATTGGCAGCAACCACGATAACATAGCGGCCGGTGCTGCAGCAGAGGACGCGCTGCCCTGGCAGGGGACTCAAACCGCCCGGTACCCTGCAATTTCTGCGAGGAAACAGTGAATTAAACACTTTGTGTCTGCTCGGATGGGTCAAGCAGCCTCCAGCACCTGTCCCAGCCTCCCCCCGCCTCGCTGCCCCTCTCTATATTTACCCAGGGGGAACTTTCCAAGAATGGAAGTGGTAAGATAAAACCCCTGAGGGGCTAAAATTAGCCCCAGTGCCCTGGCCCTTCTCCCGCAGTGGCATTTCAGCTGTGAGCTTGACAGCCTGCGTCGTTCCGGTCGCACAGAGCCAACATCCATCCCCGACATAGCAAGATCCTCTCTCTTTCTCTCCTTGTTTTGTTTTTTTTTGTTGTTTTTTTTTTGTCGTTTAAACTGAGGGAGAACTCACCGTGGGACCACCACTGCTTCGCCCACATGGGCTTGTGAGCATCACCGCCCTCACGAAGGTACAGCAGCAGCGTAACGATGCCCAGGCAGCATGGGGCAATTGGAGGTATCTGGGGATCTGGTTGTAAAAGCATTGAGTGAATTCTCTGTCCCCTTTAGCTTCATAACCTATTTTTTTTGGGGGGGGGTGGGTCTGCAGATGCGTGGACAGCTTCCTTCAGCTCGAGAGGTGACAAGACTGGTTTGGGCTCTTCTGGTTGAGGAACGTCTGTGAGCTCCCCACGTGAGTGCTTACGCTGTCAAAGTAACGTCCCTTTGGAGATGCTTAGTTGGGTGTTCAGGAAATATTGCAGCTGGTTTTTTACTTTTTCTAGATTATTTCCATGGGGAGTATAACTGGACCACTTTTTTGAATTGAATCTGCAAGAAACCCCCCACCCCATTAGCCATGTAGGTGGGGGGTTCCCAAAGCTGCAGGGCTCATTATCGGCGTGTCTAATGAATAAGTCATGTTGTAATTTCACATATTTCTGTATAAACTGCCTGGGTTAGTGTCACAGGTGGAAATGCAGCACCATCACTCGCTGCCATCAACCTTGCTCTACTTAACCAAGAAGCGAAGCTGCGCAGGCAGCCTTGCAGGGGGATTCCTCTGAGCTTGCAGTGGATGTGGGACGAGCCTCCCGTGACCGCCTCGTTACTGTCAGGCTCGTTTGCAGAAGGAGGTTAATTGCTCGGTGCAGCTCCTTGCCTCCTCCAAGAGGAGCTGCTTGGGGAGACCGAGCTCTGCCTCTGCGGCTGCCGCCTCTCCCCAAAGAAATCTGAGATGCTGCAGGGCTGCGACGGAGCAAGAAATTCCTCTGCCCTTCCCGGCGGGCGGCATTTCCCAGCTGCTCAGGTGCCGGCCGGGGCATTGCATTCCTCTGCCTGCTGCCGCTCGGCCACGGCAAGGCCAGATCCTGCACCAAGCACCTGGAAAACATGTCGGGGTTTGGCCGCAGCTCCCGTGTGATCAGCTCAGCATCCCCTCGCCTTCCTCCCACCACTCTGTACCCCCCGCTATAAAAATCCCAGATCCTTCCTGCAGCCACGCTCCTCGGGCTCGAGTGGGCAGCAGGGAGGAGGGGGTTTGCTGAATTCAAACGTTGGTATCATTTTGGGAAGGGCGGTGCTGAAAGTCCTTAATCAAACCAGCCACCTTCACATTTGCTTCATCTTCTGTTTTGAAATCCAACTCCATCCCTATTTTTGAAATCCAAAACCTTGCCACGCTGCTGGCTCCTAAGTTAAAACTCCTCTGAGCCTTCTGTGGGTCCCAAAAGATTTGGAAGTGCAGGTGCTGGTGGGGCTTCCAACAGAAGCCTTGGCTGATGCGAAGCCGAGTTGACTCCTGCTGTTTTCCAGCGTGCTCTGTACTCGGTGGCTCCCAGAGAACAGCTGGATGGGATGATTTCTGAGGGTTTTGGAAAAACCTTGGGAAAATCTTGGCTTCATCCACCCATGGGGTGCAGAGTCGCTGCAGGAGCCCATGGCCACCCAGGAGCCTTCCTGAGCTCCCTCTGCCTCCTCAGGGGCCAGCAGTACAGCATTAAATAATTTTAAAAAATAAAGTAAAAGCCTGTGAGCTCCCCTGTGCAGTGTTTGAACTCAGATTCTGTTATCTCAGCATGTTCTTGATCACACCATTGTAAGGGGAGGTGGCCCACAGATGTGCCACAGCGGTGACATCTGTCTTTGCCGTAGTCCTTCACCAGCGTGGATTTCCTTACCCACGGTGGCAGGGCCATAAGATGGTCAGAAGCATCATCATCCAGTGTTGTTTTTTTTTTTTTTTTTTTTAAGAATCTTCCTTAAATGGTGTATAAAAAATAAAAAGCTGGTGTTGCTGTCAGGGAGCTGGCTCTAACCCTGTGGTGGTTTTGTTGTTCTGTAGATATTTGGCTTTACTATTTACCATGAAAGCGGTACATGAGAGACAGACCAAGAAAAATGAGCCTAATGGATATCACCAAAATGTTCTCCATGCTCCAGCCCCGCGAAGATGAAGGTGACAACGGCGAAAGCGAGGAGCTGAACCGAGCAGTATCCGAGGATGATTACCAAACCCTAGATAACCTCTTGTCTCAAGACAGGTACAAGAGGTTCATCAACCGCAGGAGCGGCTGGGGCGTCCCCAGCACCCCGCTGCGCCTGGCTGCCACGTGGGGCCGCGTCAGGAGCGTGAAGGTCCTCTTGGCCCACGGGGCGGAGGTGGACAGCCTGGACGTGAAGGCTCAAACCCCACTCTTCATGGCGGTCAGCAATGGCCACCGCGAATGCGTGAAGGTCCTCCTGGACGCAGGGGCCAGTCCTGCCGGCAGCATCTACAACAACTGCTCGCCACTGCTCATCGCCGCGAGGGATGGGGATGTGGACATCGTGCGGCAGCTCCTGGACCACGGCGCAGAAACCAACATTCAAGCGCGCTTGCCTGAGTGGGCTGCCAACTCGGCGACTTGTTCTGGTCCCCTCTACCTCGCTGCCGTGTACGGGCACCTGGAGTGCTTTAAGACGCTGTTGCTTTATGGTGCTGATCCCGACTACAACTGCACCGAGGAGAGGGTGATTGCCCAGGTCAAGGAGCCCAAGACTCTGCTGGAAACCTGCCTGAGGCACGGCTGCAGGAGCGAGTTCATCAAGCTGCTCATTAACTTTGGAGCCAACGTGTACTTGCCCAACGTCAAGGTAGATGAGACGGGACCTCGCAGCGAGGGCCTGGAGCTGCTGCTACAGGCGAGAGGTAACGTGTGTGCATGGCCCTGGGGCTGGGAACCAGCACTAATGGTGCTTGTTGGGGTGCAAGTTAGTTCAGCTTCCCCTTCCCTTTACCTCTGCTTCCCAACACCTTACTCAGGCTTTCCTACAAGCTTTGTCCCTTTGCATCATCACTGAGTGTATGGGTGTCTCTGGTCTTAAACTCTTGAGTATGATCACTGATTTACTCTCAACTCTTATTTCTCCCTCTCCCCTGGTCATTGCTGTGTTCAGGCCAAAAACCCCGAAGTCTCTGATGCTGAACGCAGCAAGAGAAGAACATCACAAGTTTATGGAGAATAGGTCCACCACTGGTGATGAAATCTGATGGCTTGGATACACCTGCTACTGCAGGAAACTCCTAAACCAAATTGCTGGGATCTGGGGGAGAGCTTGTTTCCAACAAACACCCACCAAATATCCCCAATTTCCACCGCAAGCTGTGGCTGGACGCAGGCTGCCTTGGTTTGGGTTTTTGGTGTGACTCGGTGCAGGCACTGAGGGGAGCCGGGTTGGTGACCATCTCATTTTTCCTCTCTCTCCTCTTGCAGCTCATCCCAAGTCCTTGATGTCTCAGTCCAGGCTGGTGCTGAGACACCTCCTGAAGCAGGCTGGCCGCCTGCACGCCCTCGGCGAGCTGGAGATCCCCACGGTTCTGGCAAACTACCTCCAACACCAGCCATGATGCGCAGCCCACCACGAGAGATACCTGCCCTGTGTACATGTCGACCATCCAAATTAAAAGCTGCATCTGCCTCTAAAGCAAGAGGTTTCCAAGTGCCTCCTCCGTTCGGCGGCCCTGGGAGGGCAGAGGGAGCCTGGACCTCGCCGTGCCCAGCCCGTTGCCACTGCGGCTCCTGACCCGAGGACATGTTGGTGCAAAGCCCAGCGCTCCCCGGCTCAACACAGGCAGGGGCTGGGATAAGGATCCAGAGGCCCCAGCTCTTGTCTCCCCACCCCAGCTCTGACTTTAAACATCTTACACGTGGGTCATATTATGGCTGAGGGCTCTTTTGTGATGGGGCAGGTTTGTTTGGTTTTTTAATTAAAAATGTTGCTGCTTTTCTTATTAAAGTATTGTGACTCGTTTGGGGAAATAACCTTTAATGGGAAGAGCCCAGCATCATGGGGCAGGGATGTAGGAAAACACTGCACCCACGGAAGTTCAGGCTGAGCCTGG